TGAGGCCTAAAGCAATGGGCTCTTTATCCCATGGGGAGAAGCTTTCTGTCTATAGATATCTATCCACCTACACACACACACACACACACACACACACACACACTCATCCATTGAGAGTGACCATTTCATTCTCTCCCTCCTCTTAGCTTTGCTGTGTCTCAAACCTGGACTTAGTACTTTTTTCCTTACTCTTCTTTGGGATTCTTTTCATGATCAATGGATTTGAAGCCTGTCTCCCTTATCCCCACCTCCTCTCTGCTATATTTCTTTGCCTGGCTTTTTTCACTAGCCCCCTTTGTCCTTTCCACCAGATGGGCACCGTGCCCCGCCTTCGACCCCGACTCAATGCCATTCTCTTCAAGCTGCAGTTCAACGAGCAGGTAGAAAATATCAAGCCAGAGATTGTTTCTGTAACAGCTGCTTGTGAAGAGGTACGAAAGAGTGAGAGCTTTTCTGGCCTCTTGGAAATAACCCTGCTCGTGGGCAACTACATGAATGCTGGCTCTAGGAATGCTGGTGCCTTTGGCTTCAACATTAGCTTCCTCTGCAAGGTGAGAATGGGAGTCAGAACAGAGAGACCAGGACAGGTGTCTAGCCCTTTGGGCCAAATAGTAGGAGCTACAATCTGCTGAGAGTGGTTTTGGTCTCAGATCCATTCCCCTGCTCATAGATATTCTTCTTCTCAGCTTCGTGACACCAAGTCCACTGATCAGAAGATGACACTACTGCATTTCTTGGCTGAAATGTGTGAGAACAGCTACCCTGAGGTCCTCAAGTTCCCTGATGAGTTAACCCATGTAGAGAAGGCTAGCAGAGGTGAGGACAGTCTGGGGAGAGACTATAAGGTGGCACAGGGGGCTGGCAAGTATCTGCTTGGAGAGGGAAGTAGATATTACTTGGTTGTAGAATGCATTAAGTCCCAAGCTAATGAATATATTTGGGTCTAGGGGTGATGTTGAGGGGACATGAGTCCATAGGGAAAATATAAAGTGGAGTGGAGCTTATGTATATAAAATTGAGGAGAATATTTAGCAGCACAGTGAAAAGAAAGTCATGTGGGGGGAAAACACTTGTTTTTAGTCTAAGACCTCAACTCTCTTGGTTTTCCCATTCAGAAAACATAGACTTTCTTGGCAGAAATTAAGACATCACTATCTGGGAAGAAGGCAGAGAGAATATAGCCTTTTGCTGAAGAAAAAGCTATTCTACCACTCATTTTCTCTGAGAGTGGAAGTAATCCAATATATTATAGGTAGCACTTATCCTAGCTATATGTCTCTATGCAAGTCTCCCTGCTCCTAAATCCCATTCCACTAACAGGCATAGGGCCGAGACCGCAGGGCCCAAGGGGCAGGAGCTCAGTTCATTCAGTTAAACATGTATTTATGGACCATTTCTGATTTCTCTAGCACTGTAGGTATTGAGATTTGCCACATAAATTCATGACAGAATTCTGGTGATCAAGATAGAAGCTTAGAGTCTTAATGGAGAGATAAGACTTGTACACAGTAGAGAGCAATTGAAAGGTATGTCAGGTCAGATATTAAGAAGTGCTCAGTTAAATGTAATCGAGTACCTGAAGCAGTTAGGAAGGGGAAACCCACTGACTTGAAGAGCTGCTGTCCTAGGCTAAGATCCTTTCAGGGCTGTAAGTTCATTTTTCATTGAAGCTATAAGTTCATTGTTAACCCATCCATCTCATGCAGTCTCTGCTGAGAATTTACAGAAGAACCTGGATCTAATGAAGAAGCAGATTTCAGATGTAGAACGAGATGTTCAGAACTTCCCAGCTGCCACTGATGAAAAAGACAAGTTTGTGGAGAAAATGAGCATATCCTTTCAAGGAGTGTGAAGAGGGGGAAACCGCAAAGGGGAATAAATGGGAGAAATCTATGGGGCTCAGGAGTAGGAGTATGGAACACACTTTAGTGAGATGGCTTTAGAGTCTACTACTTCATGCACTGTACTCTGGGAGCGTGTAATTGAAGAGTCTAAAGAAGCAAGACTATTAGTTTCTTGGTCCGGGTCCTTAACTCCTTGCCCTCACAGCTTTGTAAAGGATGCCCAGGAACAATATAACAAGCTGCGGATGATGCATTCTAACATGGAAACCCTCTTTAAGGAACTAGGAGATTACTTCCTCTTCGATCCCAAGAAAGTGACTGTGGAAGAATTCTTCATGGACTTAAACAATTTCAGGAATATGTTTCTGGTAAGCAAGCAATCTTTGCCTCCAAACCAAGAAGACCTGGGGGGGGGGGGGGTGGTTTCCTCCCAGAGATTAGCTCAGTTTGCTTGATTGTTATGTTTTTTTATTCATAGCAAGCAGTCAAGGAGAACCAGAAGCGACGGGAGACAGAGGAAAAGATGCGTCGAGCAAAGTTAGCCAAAGAAAAGGCGGAGAAAGAACGATTAGAGAAGCAGCAGAAGAGAGAGCAGCTGATAGATATGAATGCAGGTATGAAGGGAGAACAAGGAATAGGGAGGGGGAGAAACAGGGAGGATGTTCAGGAGCTGCAGTTTGGGCAGAGAAAATGGCTGATTTCTGAGCTGGATTTTTAATAAGTGAGCTTTTGGCACAGTTCCTTAGATCAAGTTTGTGTTTGCTCTAATTTTCTCTGCTAGATTTTCAGTTTTTTCCTCTGTTTTTTATTTTTTTTCTTTATACCTTATCTTCTTAATTGTAAAGCCTCCTCCCATTCATATTCTCTTGTTACTAGGTGACCTTGGTGTTACTAACACACACCCCTCCTTTCTGCCTGTTCAGGAGCTCCTCTGGTCTCCTCTCACACTCTGCAGACCTCTGTTTACATTATCTCTAAGATGGCCTCCTAGGCCTCTGCCAAGTCCTTTGTGGCAGCAATACCACCCCTCCCCTAGTTCCTAACTCTTTCCCCCTTCTCCCCCCATCACTTCGGCTTGGGAACAGTTACGAAGTATGGATTTACAAACCATAACACAAACATACTCTTCCCAGGCAGCATCCGTC